GGACACACTAGTGGGTTCGAATAAAACTGTAAAAAAAATTTTTGAAGGGCAAGTATAGTAAGTTTTAAGAAAAAAAAATTTTTTGTCAACAATGAGTCATATGGATAATCATCATCAATTTTGAAAAATCCGGTGATTTATATTAGGGGAGTGTACATACGTATCAAATCACAGAGACAGTGCAATTTTAGGATAAATTTAGATTTAAAAAAATATCAATCACTCTAGATTTTATTAAAACAAATTTAATTTACATGTATTTATTAATGCCTTGATACAGCTTTTAAAGCTAATAATTGAGAAATTGATGGAACAAAGTTGGGATGTCCCAGGACAAGTTGGGACAGACAAGACCAAAAAAGATTTGGAGTAAGTCAAAATATACAGCACTAAATTTTTTACTTTAGCCTTGAGTGATTGAACTTTCAAAAGTATTAAAAAATTTTATTTGATTTTTTTTAATACCCTTCTATTGAAAGATGCTGATGGGCATATTTGAAATTTACCTAATTTAAACAAGACAATAATATATAAAAGAGAATTCAAAGAAAATTAATAGTCTGATTTGGATTTCATTTATTGAAATTATACAAAGAACAAGATAAATGATTCTTTTCATTTAAACAATATAATTAAGTAAGTATAGATCTGAATTTTGTTTTTGTTTCTATTGCCCAAATTTGGAATTAAAAAAAAATTAATTTTTATTGGCTGATTAGCTAATTCATTGTTTATATACATTCTTAATTGACCAACTTTGGAATTAAAAAAAAATAATTATTGGTCAAATCAAATTTTGTTTGTTTATATTCTAAATTAGCCAAATTTAGAATTAAAAAAATATAATTCTTACAAGACCAATTTTTTTAAATTTCGTAAGTTAATATTTAAAGTCTTTATATATATTATTGTAAATTAATTTTATTATATAATTATTTAACTCAATTCTTATAATTATTATCTTAATGGCCTAAAAAAAATAATGTAATATTTTATCATATAAATTTTTTTTATATTCATGATTGCGATTTTTTTACAAGTCATTCAACCCCTATTATATAGTACTTTTATTGGATTAATTCTATATCTGTATATAGTATTTAAATTAAAATGTTGCTAATTATTAAGTTAATACTTTTCAGCCAGTTCAAGAATCTTATTTGGTATAAGGTCATAATTATTTCTATGTGATATCATTATTATCATCACATTACAGAGAGGCAATATTCTATCTGGAAATTTTTTTAAGATATTGTTCGGAAAATTCTTGTTGGTAACATTTTGATACATCTTGCTAATTTGGTAATGCATACAATATTCAAGATTCAAATACACATCTATGCAACCAGGGCAAATGCTAAAATAAGAAATAGAATAAGTTTTATAAATCAGATCAATATAAATGCATTAAAGTTAAATCTTTTTAATTACTATTACCATGTGGGGTCAAGATATTTAATATGATTAGTTGTTATGATAATTATTGTGCCTTCTAATAATATTTGTCTATCTAAACATACAAGAAAATTAGATAAACTAATAAATGAAAATAAATCCTTATATTTTGATAAATCATCATTTTCTTTTATAAAATCTTCAGATATAAAGTTATAATAATTTGGGTGGCTAATACCTCTTTTATAAAGAATATTTGATTGTGTATCAACATCTTCAAGAACAATTATTTGATTTGGTAAAACAGAACTAAAAGCAGCGCTCATATCATTATTATTTTTAATTTCTTTGAGATTAAGATAATAGAAATCTCATGACAAATAAGATGATATGGTATTTATTAATGTAGTTTTTCCAGTTCTGGGTTTACCATGTAAAAGAAAATCATATCAATAAGGCAAACCAATTCTTTTGTAAAACTCTTTGTCATTAACAAAAGAGTCTAATTCTTTTTTCAATAATATTTCTTGTAGTTTATCTAATACAATAGTTTTAAACTATTCAAGTCTGATAAAAGTTAAACTCTGTTTCAATTTCCTTTATTATGCTTATATCGAGCACGCTTGTAATTTTTTTCTTTCATTCTAAAATAAGAACTCATTATTTCACTAATAAATTCAGTAATTGCATTAATATCAAGTTTGTTATTTGAACTTGAGTCATTATTAATAACTGATAAAAAAATAGAAAGCACTAGATCTGGTTCTTTATAATAGTATGATTGAGGTTGAGAATAACTTTGATTATTATTGTTGTCATTTTCTTGCAATTTATACATGAAATTGAATTTACGATCTCTGTATTCTATATTAATTTTTTGTTTCTTTTCAGGCAAAATATTAAAATCTGGCATTTCATATCTTTCATACTTTTTATTATTAGCAGGTTGAACAATAAATAAACCATTATCTAATTCTTTTGTTTGTTGTGAGATGATCTATGATAAAGCTTCATATAATAGATTTTTTTCCTTACTGTAAATATCTAAAAATTTAGTGCTTTTGAGATTTAAAAGGCTTTATTGTAGAGAAAATCATACTCAATCTACCTTTAACATAATACTCAATTTGCACTGTTAATGAACTTCTGAACTGTAACATCTGTAGCAAGGAACAAGAAGCATAGATTAATGTAGTTACTGCAGTTGATATTAATGTAGTCATAAACATATCCACAGTGATTATTCTAGAGAAATATGGCTTGAGTTTTGAAGAGAGCCATGCTAGTAAAACTGCTTGTAATTGTTTATAGGAAAAAAGATTAATAAAAAGTCTAAAAATCTCTTTAAATTCACTTATTTTTTGATAGTCAAGAAATAGTTAAGTTGAAGGAGAAACTATTAACATTAAATTTTGTTTTTTTACCATTTTTTTAATTGAAAAAATCAATTTAACAATTTTAATTTATAAATATAATTATAATAAATTTTAATCAATTTTATTGATTAAAATCAACAATATAATGCATAAGAACTTTATAAATAATATTAGCAATAAAAAAAGAGTAAATAATATAGTAAAATTTTATGTGACATTAAAGAACATTAATATCAATACAGGATTGACTAAAAATATTGATAAATATTAAGTGCAGGATCATACCACAGACCGCAGAATAGGTGGTAAAGTGCTAAATTTTTTTTACCTATTTAGATTACTCGAATTCTATACAAAAATATCTAACTAAATATTTCTATATCAGCATGTCTGAATGTTCTGGTTTTATACATTATTTCTTATATTTCTTGACTGAGAAAAATTTTGAATAAGTTCAAAAATTTGATATTAATAAACTCGACAAAGTTAAAGCTTATTTTTTAAGAAAAAAAATTTTTAGTCCCTTTGAACAGCGATTTATATTTTTTTTGTTATGGTATGAAAAGATACGTAAAAATCCTATTATCTAAGTTATCTTGATTAAATGTTTGAAGCCCAAACTCAACTTATTACTGACATCAAAAACGAGTTTGAAATCGATTAAATAAGCAAAATGCTTGTATAATTAGACTTTTAATTCTTTTAATTATTATCTTTATGACTACAATAAATCCAATACGTAATCAATTATCTGAAAGAATATTTCTGCAATTTTCTGCATAAAGATATAATATCATGATATAACCAATTAACATGATATAGTATATTGAGTATCAGGAAAGTAGTGTATAAATCTGCTTGATCTAAAAATATTTTATGTATTGTATTTGGATTTTAAAAAATGATAAGACTTATGCAACAAAGAATTCTTGAGAAAGCTGTATATCTAAAAATAGATATACAGTTTTTCTTGCCCAACACTCATTTGTAATTAATTCATTATTAAAATACTAATATTGAAAAGGCTGCTAGATAACAGCCAACATTAATATACATTACAGAATTTTATACTAATTAATTAATTATTGTAGTTGAATAGTTGAAACTTTTAGCTATTTGGTTGGTCGATTCAATTTATCTGAATGTTTCTTAAACCTGTTCTGATTTTAATATTTTTTTTAGAAAGAACCCATTTTTTAGATAATAAAAAATTTTTCTAATTTTTATTTATTATTATTAATAAAATTTAGAAATTAACTTTGGTTTGCTCCAAACAGTTATATGAAAATTAATTGATATTTTACACCATCTTGTCTTTGATAACCACACTTGCACCAAAATCAGCAGATGAATTATAAGTTTTAACCCAAATATGAGCTTGATAATGACCAAGTTCAGAGGCTTCTTTAATTAATTTTCGTGCTTCATTGATATTTTGATTGTAGCCAAAATTGGTTAAAAAAGTAATAAGGTTAAGCAACTTTATGAATTATTAGCTGATTGTGCAAAGCAAGTTCATAATATAGTATATCTTCATTATAGTTATAAACCAAAGCAGAAGAAATTTAAAAGTACTAAAATCATCGCTTGTATCCTAGAACATACCTTGGGCATGTTCTTTTTCAAAAAACTTAGATACACAAAAAAAAATCATGTACACCCTAATCTTGCCCTCTCTGATTATAGAAGTTAATAGAAATTTTACAGAATATGATAAAAAAGTGTGAGAGTTAGTTAATGAATTAAACAGAGTATAAGTCTATTTTCTCATATTGATGGTCCCAATTAATTTTTTAAATTTTAATTAGTTGAAACTATATAATTTAATAAATATAATAAATGTGCTAGAAAAATTCAAAAACACTTTGTCACAATACAAAGTATACACTGAGTAAAAAAACAACAATGTTTTTAGTTTGTTTTATTAGTTATAAATTCTTCATAATTATTTAATCCTTAATTACTTAACTAATCTAGCTGCTATATTGGTATCTGTTAGATGTGTTTGATATCTGTAAACAATAAATTTGATGTATATGATATCTGCTAAAAGCAGTAGCATTATGCTTGTCCATATGAGCATGGCTATTAGTATCATAAGTGGCAATATTACTAATACTAGCACCAGTATAAGATATTGTTTGTTGTGAGATACTTGTATTACCTTCAAGCCTTTGTGCTAGAAGGTAATGTTGTTCCATAGTTGTATAAGTATAATGAGAAAGTGGTCAGTATAGCATACTGCAACAAACACTTAAAGATCTTTTGTTACATGGTTCAGTTTCAACAGCACTGAAGTCTAAAGCTCTCTACCTGAATCTTGATATGGAACATGGATAAATCTTTTATTTAAAGACAAATTATGTCTAATTGAATTCTATAAAATTTTAAAAATTTTATTTATTAGTATTCATAACAAATAGAATAGCATATAAAGTTACAGTACATTAATTTTAATAATAAAAAATGCAGACTTTTTAGCCAGCACCAGAGGTATTATAATAAGGATAATTCGCTATAATCCAATTATAAATTTTATTTAATATGAGTTTTTTATTAAGAAAATTTTCAATTGCATAATTAATCAAAGTTTCATAAATATATAGTGATTTTCCAGATATGAGATCTTGAGGATTTTTTATTAGTGATATGATCGTAGTTGTAGTCGAAGATTTTCTATTAGCAAAAGTATCTACTAATATGCAACTCCTGATGACATGTTTAAAGATGTATTAATAACTTGGGTTGAATTTGATCTAACCATTGTCAAAGTTTGGAAGTATTGATTGACATTATACAAGATAGAATTATGTGCACCTATACCATTATTATTATTAGCAAAAGTTCTAATAGATGAAAAATATCAATAATGAGTATAAGATTGTTGTGAAGAGGTTTGTTTTTGATAGGTCAATATTCCTACTAGAGGCAGTCTTGAGTTAGGTAATAATAAAATGATCTGTCAGTTATAGTCATTGAAAAAATTTTTTTATAGTGAATAAAAGTCTGTATAGAATACATCTAGTTAATCATAATGTATATAGACGATTACCCAGGGCAGCATTTTGAATTTGGGATCTTTGCTAACACAATCATATCTTTTGATCAATAATTGATTAATTAATTGATAATTTTTTTTAAATTAAATATAATAATAAGGTGAATAATTGTAAGGTGCATAGTAAAAGTATCATTTTGAGATAAATTTTAATCTACTTTAGGACAATATTTGTGTAATCTTGAAAAAAATTATTATAGGTCTTTTTGGCACTTTATTATATAATCATTTATTTTATAAATACTAATGCTTTCCATAATTAAAATTATAAAGTTTACTTTGCTATAACTTACTAGTAATATGTGAAAATTCTTTTATGTTTTTTTTTGATTTAACTAAATCCAAGAAGCAGTAAAACCTTAATTCTTATGGCAGTTATAAGATAAAAATCCTAGATTCAAGTTTATAAACTTCTTAGGGATTTTTAATAAGCTCTTTAATTACAATATATTTAAATATTTTTTTTATACTGAAACAAGATTACTAAAGTATCTGAATGCTATCAAAATTTTGAATATTTATATATTGGTCAATAGTTGCAAACAATTTTAGTAATGCCACCCAATTATTAGTAATCTATACTTTATATATTTTTTAAACCAGACAATGGAAATAATCTCAAGAATTGTTATAAAAATATGCTTAAATTTTAATTATATATAGTATTTTGGTTTCCTTTTATTGGGTTATTTATGATCTACATGAAATTATAAATTTAAGTTTCAATGAAAGCATTTTTATTCAAATATGACCTAAGACCTTGTTTAGAAATAGTTTTCAGAGATCAATTTTATTATCTGAGTAAAAAGGATAAAATAATTATTTTACTTTTAGAAACATAATAGTTTTTTTGCAGATTTGTTTAATATGTAGCTAGTCAATCTAATTTAGACAAAGTCTTCATGCAGACGAATTTCGAATAAGATCTTAAGATCTTAGCATATGTACACTCCCCTGACATAAGTCACCGGATTTTTTTAGTAACAATATGATGATTATTTTTTTTTGCAGATTTTTGATTTGTGAATTCTCAACAAACTATATATTAATTCGGGTCAAAATTTTTTTATTTAGCAATTATATATATAAATTTTATTTACATAATTTAATACCGTGTAG